GCAGGACACTGGATTCAGAAGATGAGGGAGAAATTAAAGCCAAATATAAAACTACACTTGCAAATATGGAATCAAGACAAACAGAAAAGGGAGAAGGAAGAATATTATTTAATTCCAGCAGACATAATAAAATAACCCTGAAATAAAAAGGAGAGTGAAGAGAGACAGACACTTGTAAAGAGCAGTAAGAAGGCAGTTGTTGAAACCATGCATTTGAAAGAGCTCACCTATCTACAGAGTACACCAGGATTTTTAAAAAAAGTCACGAAGGACGTAACTTGAATGAGCATCAGCTGAGAGCAAAAGATGAAAAGGAATTTTACTAGGATGAGTCTGCTGTTACTTAGGTCAAAGTTAATTTGCCTCCTGTAAGTTCAAACTGGTTGGTAAACAGCTATGGCCATAGTTTTTAAACCAAAGAGCAACAAAGGATGAAGCAGAGATACAGCAAGTGGCAGTTTCTGTGCAGGACAACTTAACACCACATTTTGATTCTACAGTCTCCCAACAGTAAGGTACATAAAGCCCTTTGTCCGTATGACCCCATTTACATTTTTGGAAGAACCCTGCATGTCGAAATAGCAGGAGTGAAGGAACAACTGTATAAATACCTTTGTCCTGAAGAGACAGGCTAATCTTTTTTCTTTGTTAATAAAAATTAAGCTCTATGATCTTAAGCTTTGACCCTGAAAGATGGTTTGAATTTTAAGTGCACTATGAGGCATTTATTTCACCAACCCTCTGCTAACTTAATGTATTTACACTGGTGTATACTACAAGTATCTGGCATAGTGCATGGACTTTTCTATAGTTTCACATGCCAACAAGGAGTTTGTTCATTTTTCTTTTCCAAACTGACCTTTTTGAACGTGACGATCCTAAGGATTTGGCTCTTTCTGAGGAACTACTACCCTGAAAACAAGAAAAAATTAAAAAGTCAAGACATTCGCGACCAAGTGACCTTTCAACAAAAACAGCTTCTTACATTAACTAGAACACATCTCAGAAGTCATGAGCGCTCTTACCAAAAAAAAAGGCAGGAGAAGCCTTAACAAAAGGTGAATACACACTATTTCAATAGTCACGTCAGTGCAGTTAAACTAAATCTACAGAGTTTCAGATCAGTAGTAAAGACTCCAAAAAGTCATTATTATTTTTAAAACAGACATAAAACAGCTGTCACCAAACTCTAAGTCACTGATGCTCACCAACCTCCCAGTGCATACATCTCAAAAGGAATTAAGAGAGGGCACTGTTCTAAGTTCAGGCATTTGGAGAGAAACACTGCCCGTATCTCAACCACCGAGTCTTCATGAAACTGAGGAAATTCTCTCCTCCCAGATCCCCACT